CCCATGGCAAGTTCAGATGGCATGACCGAAGATATTAGAGATGACGGCGTTGACAGAATGCCTCCGTAACTTGGGCACTGCGAGTATTACTTCAGCGACTTAGTTGTCTCAGTCTTCTCTTTCCTTCAGTAACTCCAGATGATCGTGACATCGACATTACTTGGAATGGCGGCGGCACCGAAGATACTTGGACTGGCGGCACTGAGACAAAGTGACTCAGCAACTCTGCCGCTGCACATGTTCCCTCGGCAACTTCCAATGGCGGCGGAACCGAAGTTAATAGGAATGGTGGCGCTGAGACAAAGTGCCTCAGCAACTCTGCCGCTGCACATGTCCTTTCGGCAACTTCACCGCTGCAGGTGTTGCCTCTGCAACTTGACTTGGGTATTTTTCCTCGCTGAGTCCATCTGGAGCCTTGGTGGGTCGGACCTGTCTCGACCCACTTGTTGGCCCACTTCCCTTGGGCTTTGGCTCACACTCCTCTCTTATCTCTGGTCGCCTTCTCAGGGCGATCTTAGTGCTTGAGTCCATACTTAGTTTGAGATTTAATTTCTGACCCTCTACAATATAATTTGTACAAAATGATGTCTCGCTTTAGTAATTGATCTAACATCTCTCTCTTGCTTGAGTTGGCCAAGTAAAATTGAGAAATCGAGTGATTTTTACATTGGATTTGGAAAAAGAAATAGAAAATGTATATAAAATTAGGTAAAATATGGGTATATTTTATTTACATTTTACATATGTTTTTATTTTTCTTTTTCAAATCTCTTCTTAAATTTCACAACCAAATACAGTGTTAAGGAACTTTTTTTCCCTTATTTGATAGCCCACATTGTACTTACATTCTGTTGTTTATAATTTTATCAAAAATACGAGGCTCAATTTGACAAGAATAATTTGGAGTCGCTCAAAATTGAGGAAAAAATGGGTGGAGTGTATCAAATGATATTTGATCGTTTTATTTTATTTTTTAATTGGAGGTTACAAATAAAGAAGTAAACCAGAATAAAAATCCCAAACAGTAGAATTGATGTAGTGTTTGGATTATTGAAATGATTATGAAATGAGTGGAATGATAACAACTTTATAATGGTGGATGATAATTGTATATGTATTAGATATTTTATTGAAATGATCATTTTATTTTACTTTTATTTTGATAAAGCAAACAATTAGAATCCAAACACTACGTAAAGGCTATCAGAATTCCTATGAAGTGATCTTTGCTAGTCTTGCTTAGGACCGTGCAAAATACCGTCAAATCCGTTAAAATTGTATCGATTCGCATCAATTCGTACCCGCTCTAACCACTAATCGCGGTTTAAATTTTAAAATTTGTAATCCGTCAACCGAACCGTTCCGCTCCACTATAATTAATACGTGTATATTTTTTAACTTCTAATGAAATATCAATATAAAAATGAGTGTGAGAAATATTTAAGATATGAAATTTATTACAAATTAGTGGTTATATCTATGAAATTATGTAAAATTCCTGTGTTATACATCTAAAAAATATTATACAAATTAGTGTTATATATTATGCAAATGTATGATAATTAGTTATAATATTCTTCAATTCGCCAATCTACTAAAAACCACTCAAACCGCAATTTGTCAATCCACTAATCCGCTAACCTGCCATTCGATTTGTAATTTTACTCTTAAACCGTCTGAACCGTACAACGCACACTCCTAGTCATGCTGGCCATCGAGACTGGAATTATTATCATTTGTTAAAATAAAAAAAAATCCTAAACCTATCACAGAACGATGAGCTCGCCTCATGTGGTTATTGATGGATGATCCATGAGACAAATAATTGTTCCTTCCTCAAAGCCCCAATGTTTGATTTGTTAAAATGAAATAAAATAGAATAATTATTTTATCATAATATTTATATCATTCTCACGTTTGATTATTAATTTTCACAACACAACAATCATCACACACACACATTCAAAAGAAATAGCTTTAGCTTCGGAAAGGTGGAGGATTTTATTTATTTATTTAATTGTTTTTGAGTCCATGGACCTCAACACAACTAACGTGGAACCATGTGTACAACAGTACATGTATTCCTTGGGTAGGCAAAAGGGAAGTGATTGGAAAGTGCAATTGGCATCCATAGTTAAACTTCAACACCAACGATACTATTGTATATATTATTTATATATTTATTATTTAAAAATAATTATAAAAAAAAAATCAAGATTGGATCCTTATAATCTTGAGTTTTTTATTTTATTAATTTAAATTTAAAATTTTTTATTTGTTTTTAATATAAATTATTTGTCTATTTTTATTAATTAAAACCAACGAATTATTAAACTTAATATAAATATACATAAAATATCTAAAATATATATTTTCATTGAATTTAATGATTAAAATACTTATTTTTGGCTTATTTTATTTAACAAATATTTTTTTTGGGTACATTGAAAATGATTTTATTTAACAAATATAAAGAAATAGTTTAGATTAAAAGCTAATTAAAAAATTAAAATTAAAATTAATAAAATTTAAAATTTATTTTGTTATGATTTTTTTTAAAAAAAATAATTCCCCCATTATTTAGTACAAATCAAATGCATGATGATGATGATAGAAATACAATCCAAGTGAGTGAGAGTGAGGCGGTGGTCAGAATATGAATATGGCCCCGTTTGTTATCCGCTATCACAATCCAATCTGAATTGTGATAGATAAACGGTGAACAAAATTTTTGTTTGTTTTGATTTTGAAACTTTGGATTAGTAGTTCGAAGGGATTATAATGGGCTTCGCCAAAGGGCATTCATAATTCGGAGTGAGGGATGGTATTGGCAAATTAGTCCGTTCGGATTGGGTGTTATGAGACGTCTGCCCGAAAGTTTGGCCGGACGTCTGGCCGGTCAACCGATCAACGCAATTTCTTTATTTTTTTTACTTCTTGGGCATTTTTTAAAAAAATATTAATGTTTAATGTTTTTGTATTTTTTATTAAATCATAATTTTATTTGTTTTATTATTTTATATAAAAAATAATTTAACAATTTCTTCGCTAACAAAACAAACACAATTTTATTAATTTTCTCACTATGAAAACAAACACAATTTTATTAATTCTTTCACTATCAATTTCTTTTATTCTATCTCTGAAAATAAACGGGACCCACGTCACACAAAAGTATGATGATCCTCTGTTTGGCAAGTTAGTTTTCAGGCTTTTTTGGCTATTTTAGCCACAAAAAACAAAATAGGCTATTTTAGCCATAACAAACAAAACATCACATCCAACCTATAATCATTACATTCTTCTCTCACAAAAAAAGTCAAAAAAGCCAAAAAGCCAAAAAGCCCTTCCCAAATCAAGCTTTTTAGCCCAGACTAAAATAGCCAAAAAAGCCAAAAAGCCAAAAAGCCAACCTACTTCCCAAACCAAGCCTGAGTGAGGCGGTGGTCAGAATATGAATATGGTGTATTAGTGGGGAGACAGCTTGGCCCCAACATGGATCGTGGGAGCACTTCTTGTTTTGGGGCCCACATCACATAAAAGTAATTGCATTGACATTTCTCTCCTTCGACGTGCCCAGCCCACCATTAACCCTCAACGTGTGTTAATAAACTAAGATAATTTAAGATAATCTAAATACGTATATTTTTTGATTTTTTATAAAATATGAGTTAGATATGAATTAGATTTGAAATGATATAGTAAAAGAGTAATGTGACTTAAATAGAATAGTAACTTTTTGACTTTTTGAGATTATGACAAACAAGACCTAAAAATATAATATATATATATATATTAACAAAATTTTAAGATCGACTAATCATATTACTAAAAATTAATGCACGTTTTAATCTTTTTATATATTTTTTAAAACACTTTTGACACCTTTATTAATATTAAACAATACATAACGAGCGCTTGTTATCATTAACTAATTTTCTTTACTTTTTATTCTCTCATTCAATGTTATTATTATTATTTGCTAAGCAAGTTACTCTACAAACTCAAATAATATTTATAATCATTAAATTATTATTTTTTTTAAAAACATAATTGGATTTAAAATTTTAAAATAAATAAGAGAAAATATTTAAAAATGAAAAATATCTCATGCTTTGAGATAAGTGAATTGCCATGTTAAAAAGCCGAGTGCATTTTTTACATGGCTAAGAAATTTTATTCCATTCATTTTATCATTTAGTATTTTTGAATATGCAAATCATTTATAAAGTTGAAATTCTTTATAAAATAAAAATAAAAACCGTAAAATCTTTAAAAGTTATATTTGGAGTGATTTGGGAAGTTGGTTAATTAAAAACTGATTTTTTTACTTTTTATAGCTTTTTTTTTAATCTTTTTGTGTGTAAAAAATGTGAGAGTGATCTGATTCAACATGGATTAAAAGTTAAAAACTAACTTTTAACTAGGTTGCCAAATTGCCCCTTCATGATAAAGTTTTGCCGTTGAATCAAATTAATTATTGAACTAAGCATATTAATCAAGGGATGTGTATGTCACTATCATGAAACAAGAACAACAATGCTAGGTAGTTTAAAATTTTGTAGCTCAAATGACTCAAATAACTTAAAACGACGTCGTTTTGACAGATTTTGAGTGTAAAACGACGTCGTTTTGACAGATTTGAGCCATTTGAGCTACAAAATTTTAAGCTACCAAACATTTTCCAAACAAGAATAAGAAAAATGATATTAAGGTCAAGTTTGGCTATCTTAAATAAGTACACACTTTTTATCTTTTTATCTTTTTTCCATCACATCATCTCTCTACTTTTCTGCACATCTTTTCGTAAGAAGATAAAAAATATACTTATCTAGGTCATCTCAAACAACCCCAATCCTTTTTAATTTACTATTAAATTATTTTCAACAAAATGCATACCATCTCAGTTCCATATGAGTAGTTTAATAATAAAGCGGGAAACCTTTACGTTTGTTGGAGAGGGAGATAGAGATAGAGGGGGGCAATTAACACGGATTGGATAGGATATCCGAAGACAATGAAGCATCATCGCCTGCCTGTATGTAGAGTATGTCTGAAACTTCAATTTTTTTTTTTTTTTTATATATATACATACTAGGATCAGCCCATAAGCACCCTTTTATATATACATATATATATCTCTGTGACATATACACACACACACCAGCAACATCATATACACGCACACACAGCAGCAGCAGCATGGCCTTTGTTAGTATCACCATTGCTTTGTTAAACTCTGTATAAAAGATTTCCCACTATTTGTTTCCTCTACGCTTCTACCTTTGCCCTCTACTTCTCCTCTCTCTCTCTCTCTCTACAGGAAACCACCTCCCTCAGGCCTTGTGGACCTTTTCAGAGATTTGTTAAAGAATGAGAGACAGAGAAGGGTGTGTCTGATTGATCTAGCTTCCAACATCGTGATTCCATCTATCCCTGCTTCTTATTGTTAGGTATCTAATCTCTCTCTCTCTCTCTCTGCTATTGTTCAACCATAATTTCAACCCAATTTCCACTTCTTCCATGGCTCTTCTAACCACATACATTATTATAAGACTTGATTCCTTTGCTCTGTCATACTCCTTTCACATTAACAAAATTTTAAGATCGACCGATCATATCTGTGCTCAAAATTCAATGCAATTTTATCCCATTTTTAAAATTGAGAGTTTCAAGGCTTTGATTTATTCTGCTCCTCCTTATACAACTTCACTATGTTTGATTTATTTTCAACTCTTTCATTTCTCAAACTTGTTTCAATTTTTGTAATCGCAAGATCCAAGTCAGTACTTACTAATATGATTAAAGATCCAAGGACAAATTTGTGGTGATTGAATCTGAATTTTTGTTGTTTTTGTTGTTGTTTTTTTTTTTTTTTTTTGGTGTGGAAATTTCAGGATTTGTAGATATAAGTTTCGTGTTAGTGTATTAAGACTTTAGATATGGCATCAAAACCCTTCGTGGCAAGCAGATCGTCTCTATCGACAAACTCAGATGTGCCGGAGTCACAACAACATGTTAAGCCTCCACTGCCCCCCAATGTGACATTTGCCCGGAAGACTTCGTCAGGACGATATGTCAACTACTCGAGGGATGACCTTGATAGTGAACTTGGGAGCAATGATTTCATGGACTACACGGTACACATGCCTCCAACACCCGACAACCAGCCAATGGATTCGATCTCTCAGAAGGTCGAAGAGCAATATGTGTCCAATTCACTTTTTACTGGTGGATTCAGTAGTGTTACGAGAGCTCATCTCATGGACAAGGTGATTGAATCACAAGCAAATCATCCTCAGATGGCTGGTTCAAAAGGATCTTCATGCATGATACGTGGATGTGATGCTAAGGTGATGAGCGATGAACGGGGTGTGGATATTCTCCCCTGCGAATGTGACTTCAAGATATGTAGAGATTGCTATTTGGATGCGGTTAAAACTGGAGATGGCATTTGCCCAGGGTGTAAAGACCAATACAAGGCCATGGATATGGATGAATTTGTAGAAAACAGGCGGCCACTTCCACTTCCACTTCCACCGCCAGCTGAGATGTCAAAAATGCAGAGGAGGCTATCATTGATGAAATCAACAAAGTCAGTGCTGATGAAGAGCCAGACTGGAGAATTTGATCACAATCGGTGGATCTTTGAAACAAGCGGCACCTATGGGTATGGCAATGCTATATGGCCAAGAGGGGGAGGATTAGGGAATGGGAAAGACGATGATGTAGTTGAGCCTTCTGAATTAATGAACAAACCTTGGAGGCCCCTGACGCGCAAATTAAAGATACCGGCTGCCATTATCAGCCCATATCGGTACATTTTTTGATTCATGGTCACTCATCCTTCATATACACTATTCTTATCTAACTTGTTATGATGATACCTACATGAATACTGCTTTATCTTAGTATTTTGTTTACTCTAAAACTGTTTGATTCTTCCCATTGATATGATCAAGTTTTTGAAATCACCATCTTGCCATATTTTGATACATCATTGTAGTGATTGAATGGCAGCGAGCTGACCAATACACCCAAGAATGCACATTGCAACATAAATGAGGATAGATAACTAATTTGGTGAATAAATTTTGGATAACATAATCAATTAAATTTCTACCTTTCTAGTTTGTTTTTGGTCAATTTCTTTCACTCATGCTGTGCTAGTAATTTTGGAGATGATGATGCAAAGAAGTAATCTTGTTTGGTTTCAGAAAATTGAGCTCACTTTTTATAAAATTGAGTTTTTTATTTTTTATTTTCTGTGTTTTTTTGTTTTTAGTCAAAATTTTTAATATTTTAAGGAAGTTTTTATTTTTTAGATGCATGTAACCTAAATACACTTAAAAAATATAATATTTATGAAAAAAATCTTTAAAAAATTAATCAAATATAAAAAAATATAAAAATTCAGTACATTTTCGTATTCTTATGTATTTATTGAATTTTTAAAAAAAAATTTCACAAATATTTTAATTTTTTGGTGCGTCTAGAAAGTAAAAAAATTATTTAAAATATTAAAAAAAAGACAAAAAAAAAACAAAAATCTCAATTTCTAGAAAATCAATCAAAACCAAACCACTTCATCTTAGCACATTTACATTCCAGCTAGAGGCCCATGCCAATTGATTATCAGTTGAGCCATATGATTCATGCGCATATCCATCTTGGCTTGTTGTTGAACTGACTACAGAGGGAGATGTTTATCATAAATCATATTCATAGGACAATTGGATTTTCAGTGGATCAAATGTATATTGTCACTTTCATGACTGCCATGCTCTGCAACCAAAAAAGTAGTAGTTTGCACTTGGGTTGGGATTATAACTTCAAGCATGGTCGACAATGGTTTACTGAATTGGATAAATATTCCTTTTAGTTTGTACATATAATGTAATTATTTACTTTGGTGTGTGTTTGTGTGTGTTGTAGGTTTTGCTGGTAAGTGTTTTGGTTGTGTGGTCACTGGTGTTGTTGACTACTTCCCAGTTTGTTTGATTTCACATATTGGTGCGCATGGTCTCTTTATGTGATGCATGCTAATGCATTCTTCTGTCTGTCTGTTGCATAAATGCTCTCAGGCTTCTGATTTTCATTCGTATGGTTGTGCTTGGGCTTTTCTTGGCTTGGAGGGTCAACCACCCAAACAATGATGCAATCTGGCTCTGGGGGATGTCTGTGGTTTGCGAAATATGGTTTGCCTTTTCTTGGATTCTTGATCAACTGCCAAAGCTCTGCCCTGTGAACCGTGCTACAGATCTTAATGTCTTAAAAGAGAAGTTTGAAATGCCTAGTCCCAACAACCCCACTGGGAAATCTGATCTTCCAGGCATAGATATTTTTGTCTCTACTGCAGATCCAGAGAAGGAACCCCCACTTGTCACAGCAAATACCATCTTATCTATTCTAGCTGCTGAATATCCTGTTGAAAAACTTTCTTGCTATGTTTCTGATGATGGAGGTGCACTTTTAACCTTTGAAGCCATGGCAGAAGCTGCAAGTTTTGCTAATATATGGATTCCATTTTGCCGTAAACATGACATTGAGCCTAGGAATCCAGAATCTTATTTCAATTTGAAGAAGGATCCCTATAAGAACAAGGTGAAGACTGACTTTGTCAAGGATCGTAGACGGGTAAAACGTGAGTATGATGAGTTCAAGGTTCGCATCAATGGCCTTCCCGACTCTATCCGTCGTCGTTCTGATGCCTATCATGCTCGAGAGGAAATAAAGGCCTTGAAGCAACAGAGACAGAAGACAGATGATGAACCTGTGGAGAGTGTGAAGATCTTGAAAGCTACATGGATGGCTGACGGAACCCATTGGCCTGGGACTTGGTTGAATCCTGCACCAGAGCACTCTAAAGGTGATCATGCTGGAATAATACAGGTATTGTTTGATTAGTTGACATAATATTAACCATTAATTCTGTTAAGAAACATATGTGAATATTGTCAAAACTTAATAAAGCACTAGGATCTAAAAGAAGGGAAACAAAGCTAAACATGGCCTTCTTAAATGATGCAGGTGATGTTGAAACCACCTAGCGATGAACCACTACAGGGCACAGTAGATGATGCCCGGCTGATTGACCTGAGTGATGTTGATATCCGTCTTCCAATGCTTGTTTATGTTTCCCGTGAGAAGCGTCCTGGCTATGATCACAACAAGAAAGCAGGGGCCATGAATGCCCTGGTTCGAGCCTCTGCAATTATGTCTAATGGTCCCTTTATTCTCAATCTTGATTGTGACCACTACATCTACAACTCCCAGGCTCTGAGAGAAGGCATGTGTTTTATGATGGATAGAGGCGGGGATCGCATTTGCTATGTCCAGTTCCCTCAGAGGTTTGAGGGTATTGACCCTAACGATCGATATGCCAATCACAACACAGTCTTCTTTGATGGCAACATGAGAGCCCTTGATGGACTTCAAGGTCCAGTTTATGTTGGAACTGGATGCCTCTTTCGAAGGATAGCCCTTTACGGCTTTGACCCACCTCGATCAAAAGAACACCAACCTGGTTGCTGCAGTTGCTGCTTACCTGGTCGTAGAAAGCATTCAGCAGTTGCAACCACCCCAGAAGAGAACCGATCCCTGAGAATGGGTGATTCAGATGATGAAGAGATGAACCTTTCCCTAGCTCCTAAGAAGTTTGGAAACTCAACTTTCCTCATCGATTCAATCCCTGTGGCTGAGTTCCAAGGCCGTCCCCTTGCAGATCATCCAGCTGTGAAGAATGGACGGCCTCCTGGTGCTCTGACCATTCCCCGAGAACTTCTTGATGCATCAACTGTGGCAGAGGCAATCAGCGTCATCTCATGCTGGTACGAGGATAAGACCGAGTGGGGACAGCGTGTTGGATGGATTTATGGGTCTGTTACTGAAGATGTGGTCACAGGGTATAGGATGCACAATAGGGGATGGAAATCAGTTTACTGTGTGACCAAGAGGGATGCTTTTCGTGGGACTGCCCCAATCAATCTCACGGATAGGCTCCATCAGGTCCTACGCTGGGCTACCGGCTCAGTTGAGATATTCTTCTCCCGCAACAATGCCCTCTTCGCGAGCTCAAAAATGAAGGTTTTGCAGAGGATGGCATACCTCAATGTTGGAATCTACCCCTTTACCTCCATTTTCCTGATTGTCTATTGCTTTCTCCCTGCACTATCCCTCTTTTCTGGCCAATTTATCGTCCAAACCCTCAATGTGACTTTCCTTGTCTATCTCCTTGTCATCACTGTTACACTCTGTATGCTTGCTGTTCTTGAGATCAAGTGGTCAGGCATTGAGCTAGAAGAGTGGTGGAGGAACGAACAATTTTGGTTGATTGGTGGAACTAGTGCCCACTTGGCTGCAGTGATTCAAGGGCTACTAAAGGTTGTTGGAGGAATTGAAATCTCCTTCACTTTGACATCGAAATCAGCTGGTGATGATGAAAACGATGAGTTTGCTGATCTCTACATTGTCAAATGGACGTCCCTTATGATTCCTCCCATCACAATTATGATGACGAACTTGATTGCAATAGCGGTTGGGGTTAGTCGAACAATTTATAGCACTATACCACAATGGAGCCGCTTGCTAGGTGGTGTTTTCTTTAGTTTTTGGGTTTTGGCACATCTCTACCCCTTTGCAAAAGGGCTTATGGGAAGAAGAGGGAGGACACCCACCATTGTTTTTGTTTGGTCAGGACTTATTGCAATCATCATATCTCTCCTTTGGGTGGCAATCAATCCCCCAGCAGGAACAACCCAGATTGGTGGCTCATTCCAGTTCCCCTGATAAGTCATATTTCTTAGTAAACCAGTTAACAATATTCCTTAATTTAATTATTTTTTTCAACAATTTGACTACGCCGTTGAAGGCTGTAGAGATGTTTCTTTTCTTATACTTATTGTTTTACTTTAATTTTATCTAATGTTTTCAGCAATTTGAGCAAGAGGATTGGACTAGAAATTTTGGATAATGGTTTTAGTGGCAATTTATTTATTTATTTTTTATGATGTCTGATATGTATAATCATTTGAACAATACTATCTTACATGGAGAATTTGGAGTTGCACTTTTGTGCCATTATTTTTGAGATTTGCAGAGGTGATCTTGTAAACTAGTTGAATCCTTCGTAGTTCATCTTCTATCTTGAGAACTGTGAGCTGAATTATCAAATTTCAGTTAAATTTTTCTTTCTTTTCCTTTTTGTATGGAAATGTATTACCAACTCAATTATTGGTGTTGTTGTATGTTGAATAACACACACATTTTTTTCATGGGAAAAACCAGATTTAATAATAAATGTAGGACTGAAATTTATGTTAATGTAGGTTCAAGATAAGAATTGAGTTGTTTTCTTGCTCACGAGGGCATCTGTAGCATCCCCTGACTAATCCCAAGTAAGTAAATATAATTTTCCAAACTCTTACTCATGCAGGAAATATGAACCAAGTTAGTTGGAGCAGCAGAGAAGCATGTTCAAGCTATAACCTCAATTCGCGGAGCCAGTTAACATGTTCAAGCATACCTCAATCATTCTCACCAAGACCATCAAACCATACCTCACATGGCCACTTCCATGGCTTTGTCAGCAATTCGATCCCATATCCTCTTCTTTTTGACAACCTACTTCATATCCCAACAGGTTCCATATCCCAACAGAAAAGCTCGAGTTCATGCTTCATGTTTCTAACATTGGCAGGTCGAGTTTCTATCTAAACAATGTGAAAATAACTAGCCCCAATATACGCACAACAGCCGGGTCTTCCATCCGATGCCATGGCATAGATAGGGCAGTGCAAGGGGACAACACTACACTTCAAGTCCTCCTACCGTGGTTTCTGTGCCTCCTGCCCCATGGTGGCCACCAACACCAACACCACTGCCGGTGGGTGGTGCTAAACCGACGGCTCCTTTAGATGCCCCACCTCCAACTGATCAGAATGGCCGTCCTAAAAAATCAGGCTCTTCTCGGCATCTTCCTTTTAGAGGATTGTGTAGGAAATATTATATCACTCACTTCACATTTTATGAATAAGTGTCTTCCAACCTGTGCAGAACTTGAGTGTCTCATTGATTGAAAACCATAGGCCTATTTATAACTGCTAGGTCAGGGACCCTTATCAGATCGATACATTATCAGATAAACCTTGTTAATTTCCTTCCATCAAGGAAACTTAATTAGTGAAAATTGATAGGCCTTAGCCAAACCACCATTTAGAGTTGATATTTTAGGCTTCAATAATTATCACCCATAATTATCAAAAGATAAATATACATATAAGGATAAATATATAAATAATATATAATATATATAATTTACAAATATTAATATATATGTGGGCCTCCTCTTAGGAGACGCAGCTTACATTCTCCCACTTGATCCACAAATCATATAAATATTGTATTGGGTGATATATACTGAATTATGGCCATTAAACTTTGCCTAAACTTTAATATTGAAATCCTCACACTCCATTGCCAAGTGTTACTACACGAATCATAGCGGTTATGCCACATTTAATGGACATTTCCTTCTATAAATTACAATGTATGACACTTTTCAATGAGTACTAAATAAAATACTTCAATTTACAAATGACTAATAAATAGTCATTCGGGTCCTACTTTACTTATCCCAATGGATAACAAACATAACAAATACTTTAAGTGCACAATCAAAGGTCATGTATTTATTCTAAATAAATATTGTTTTCAATAGTGAATCCCTCAAAATGAGAAAGTAATTTCATACATCAAAAGAGCTAGTTAGTCCCATATGAACCACATGATCATTGTGTATTTTAGCCGGCAATCCTTTTGTCATGGGATCTGCAACCATCAACTCAGTGTCGATGTGCTCAATAGCAATTTCTTGCATCTTCACTTTCTCTCTAACAACAAGATACTTTATATCAATATGTTTATTTCGACTGCCATTTTTATTGTTTTTAGAAAAGAAAACTGCAGCCGAATTATTACAGTAAATCCTTAGTGGTCTTGATATGGAATCAACAATCCTTAGTCCTGTGATAAAATTTCTTAACCATAAGGCCTGTGTTGTAGCTTCATAGCATGCAACAAATTTCGCTTGCATAGTAGACGAAGTAGTTATGGACTGCTTGATGCTTCTCCAAGATACAACTCCTCCTGTAAGAAGAAATATATATCTTGAAGTAGATCTTCTAGTGTCGGAACATCCAGCAAAATCTAAATTTGAATATCCAATCACCTCTAGTGAATCTGCATGTCTGTATGTAAGCTTGTAGTCCTTAGTTCCTTGCAAATACCTCATAACCTTCTTAGCAGCTTTCCAGTGCTCAAGCCCTGGATTACTTTGATATCTGCCTAACATTCCTACCACAAACCCAATATCAGGTATTGTACAAACCTTAGCATACATGAGACTACCTACTGCAGATGCATAAGGTATGTTTTTCATCTGTTCTTTCTCCAAATCATTTTGTGGTGATTGATTTAGACTAAATTTGTCTCATTTGACAATAGGTGCTACAGAAGGTGAAGAAGACTTTCATGTTAAATCTTTCCAAAACTTTTTCAATGTAGGCCTTCTGAGATAGTCCCAATGTTCTACAAGATCTATCTCTGTGAATCTGTATGCCAATGACATATGAGGCTTCACCCATATCCTTCATTTCAAAGTTTTCAGAAAGAAATTATTTCGTTTCATGTAGCAAACCTAAATTACCACTCGCAAGTAGAATGTCATCTACATACAGGACTAAGAATATGTATTTACTCCCACTAACCTTAAGGTATATAAAATTATCAACAATGTTCTCTGTAAACCCGAATGAAGTAATAATGTTGTGAAATTTTAAAAATCATTGGCGGGAGGCCTGTTTAAGTCTATATATAGATTTCTTTAACTTACAAACCAAGTGATTATTCTTTGAGGAAAATCCCTCAGGCTGAACCATGTATACCTCTTCTTCCCATTAAGAAAAGCCGTTTTCACATCCATTTGGTGTAACTCTAAATCAAAATGAGCTACTAAAGCCATGATTATTCAAAATGAGTCCTTCTTAGAAACCGGAGAGAATGTCTCATGGTGTAACAACCCTCATACTGTTTACCGATTAATAACTGATTGATTACCGATAACCATCGATTACCGTTAAACTGAATTGATCATGAACTGACTGACTGACCGAAATTGAAACTGAATTGAATGAATACATCTGTTTGAATTACATTTTATCTGTTGACTGTTTGTTTGATCTGTTCATGTTTTATGTTTAAATTGCTAATTGAAGGCCTTATCGGCGGCCGAATCGGGAATTGGTTAGTGTTTTATGATCCTCATAATTAATGTAATTTTATGGTACATTCATTGAAGAAGTGATTAGGTATGATTAAATTAGATTAAAATGAGTTAAATTGCAATAATTGCCTTATTTACCAAACTAGCCTTGTAGTGGCCCACTACCTCAAACCTTTTGAGCCTTATTACACCTAATGCATTTGATTAAAACAACATTCCCTCAGCCTTGTTTGGTGCTCTAGCCGACCTTAGAGAGAGAGAGAGACTTGAGGAGTTGATTTCATCTCAATCTTGCTTGTGAATTGTTTGGAAATTGAAGAATTGTTGAGGAGATTGCATATTTGAGCTCCCTTCTTGAACTACAAGACTAAAGGTAGCTCCATTGTCTTCTTGTTCATGTTTTGAGTTGATTCTTGCATTGTTTAGAGCTAAGTTGAAGTCTAGAGCCACCCTATGGCTCAAATTGCTATGTTGAAGCTTAATTGTTGCATGCATGTACATATATTGAAGTTTTGAGGTGGTAGTTCATAATACCTCACATGCATGTCCATCTTTTGGTCATACTCCATGAGTTCATCTTGTTTTTGAAGGTTTGAGCTCTTTTGAAACAGCATTAAAGCTTTGAAAATGATTTGAATCCATGCATGTTTGCATGTTCATATTGTTCTTGAAAAATTGGTTTGAAATTGAGTTTGAATTAAACACCCTTGGGCTTTGATTTCTCAAATTGAGTTTTGAATCATGTTATTCCATGTGTTTCTAAGAGTTTTCCAGAAATTTAGCCCAAGAGGTCGAGTTTTGATGCTTTTGAACTTGGTTTTGAGCTTGAAGGTGCAATCTGGAATTTCCAGATTTCGCACTTACGCTCGAGCGGGGAAAGTGACGCTCGAGCGTAGAATGCGAGCATCCAGCATCTCTGCACTGTTTTGCAGTCCGCTCGAGCGGAGGATTGGGCGCTCGAGCGGAGTCATGTCTCACGCTCGAGCGGGCGTCGAGCGGAGTTGAGGATATAGATGTAGAACACACCGAGGCGTTAGGGGTTAAGTTATTATCTTTCCCAGCTGTGTGGCTTAGTGTGTGTTCAATCTGTTAACTGTGTAGGGTTGGCGATTGGGAAGACACGCTCTAGCATACTGTAGCCCAAACTCTGTGAGTAACAATTGTGTAAAGATATGTTTAAATGATTATCTTCTGAATACTGAACTGAACTGTTTACTGAACTGCTATTGTTTACTGAATGAATGTATGTCCTATATTCTAAACTGTACTGTGGCATCCTCGGCATCTACTGTTACTGTTACTGTTATTGTTACAGAGATCTCTGTCGGTTCCCTCGTGGAACCACTACTGTTTACTGATTGATGGCCATCATTACTGTTCGGTCTTTAAGACCTACTGTTTACTGCTATGCTAATGGATGTACCATATATGACTGAATAACTGTTCCGACTGAAAGACTGAAGTATTGTTAATGAACTGATTTCATTACTGTAAGGACATTTAATTCATAACCTCTTTACGCATTATGTTATTCACTGGGCTTTAGCTCACTGTTTATATATATATATGTAGGTGCTCAGCCGCCAGATCGGAGCTAGGAGCGTGGGTTAGACTCCAGTTTTGTCAAGCCAGCCTTTGTGCCTCACTGTGAGGTTCCGAGTTGCCATGCTATGGCCTTGGGGTGTCTTGTTCCCCCCCCCGTCTGTCTCTGTACTGTTTGATTTACTATATAGACTGTTAGCTATCCGTACTGTTATCAAGGGATTAGGTCCCTGTACTGTGTGACT